AAACTACAACTTTTCAACAACATATGTACAATAAATCTACAAGTACTACAAAAAACAGACAAGCTAAAATATTTCTACAAGATTTCTACAATAAAACTACAATACCTGTTGCATCCATTGTACTAGCTGTTAGCATTATTCCCCTGTATGCTGACTTTAAGAAGGTCCCATCAACTACTACAACTGGCCTACAATATTCCCAACCACTGATTGACGTACAAATCGCAACAAATACATACAAGAAGCAGTCATCGTCCGTCTTCTTCAATTTAACTACAGATCCCGGATAAGTCTTCTCCAGAATATACAAATAACTAGGCAATTTGTTGTAGGAGTCAGCAGGATGACCTCTCAAAAACTCCAAAGCCTTTTCCTTTGTCTCTCCAAGCTTGCTTGTATGTTAAGTTCACGCCGTGTTCAGACAACATATCAGTTTGTATATCTTTGGTGTGTAAATGTCTTAGGATCAGCATATTTTGGAATAACCATGCTACCAACTACCATGGCAATACGTTTGCGTTGTATGAATGTATTGTCCATCAAAGAGCATGTGTGCAAGCTGTTGAATGTTCTAACCTTGAACATTGCAGAATCATTTATGCTAGTTGCCTTGAAGTGCCATGTACAATTTTCACCAACACATACCAGCCAATAGCTACAAAATAAAAACAATTTAAACACTGGTATAAAAAATGTAGATCACAAAAAAAAAAAAAACAGTTTTAGCATAAAAGATCATATACAACAATTTATATACAAAACAACTACAAACTATCTACAATGTTGTTAAACAATATCACCAAAAAAATTGAAGAAGTAAAAATTTAAAAATAAACTACAAAGTAAAAAAGAATAGCAAGCGCAATGTTCATACCTTCTAGCACTAGATCTTTTAACCCCGAATTGGAACTTGTGCGTGACAAAATAGTGCTTCATTGCAGTTGCAATTGTTTGCTTGTCTTGGTATACTTGTCCTATTTCAATAAAACTTGGTGTACTATCTGTTATTATTATACTTTCATATTCCTCTATAACGGGAGATGTTGGCATATCAAGTATCTTTAGTGTTCCAGACGAACATGCATGAAAATAAAGTTAAATTCTGTTATGAACAGTTTGTAGAAATTTTGTAGATAATTTGTAGAAACATTGAAATTCTGTATTTTTTATTAATTTTTCAAATGATATGTAATTTTATTGTAGAATAAATATAGAAATTTTGTAGATATGGTGAAAACCCATATATATATATATATATATATATATATATATATATATATATATATATATATTTACTCTGACATGTAGTTTGTATGTAGATCAAATGTAGATAAAGTGTAGGATATTGATATACAACCAGAATTTGATAGAAAACATAACAGCGCAAAACTGCAACTGTGTTCTCATTGGTGATACTCAATTCCATATTGAAATCGCGAACAGTTATACATAGCGGATATGATCCTAAGTTTTTGTTTTCTTTTTTCGTTTTCATGTATACACGAACACCCATATCGTTCCTAATTTCCATTGGAGGACAATGCTCGTTGACAATGTATTTGATTTCTATGATTTTTTCGGATGTATCGATCATTAATTGTTGTGCTATTGTAGAAATCAATAGACTATAACTCACATCACCATCGACTATAATGCCATCGACCTCAAATTCTCTAAATCTCCCATAGTTATCCCAAGTCCCATTCAGTTGTAGCATAATTGGTATTTTGGACATAATAGCTTTTGTTGCAGCAGAACTGTAGAAGCTTTAGTCGATTTTTATTTGTGAAATCAGAAAAAATGTTGAAACACAACGTATCGCAAAAACAGAGTAGCTAAATTTTGAATCCAAACAGCCGATAATTATGAAGGCGTGATTTGCGTTGTAAAATATCTGGAAGAATATTTAATTCCCCAATTTTAGCGCGCCTAAATAAGGAAGCCTACAGCTACAATGATTCCTTATTTAATGAATTGTCTATATTTTGTAGAAAAACTATTAGCATGACGGGTAATATGCAAACTATGAACATATTTGGTAATATAGTTTCCTATATGGTATAGGAACGAAAATTTCCCTTTTGAATAGTTCATCAACCCATTGACCCTTGGCCTACATAACTGGACCATACCGAGTCAGGGTCCATTAAGGATTTCTTATTTTTTATTTTGTTGTATTTAGTTTAAAGTCTATCATAGGTAAATTATAGATAAGCAAATAAGCATTTAGCAAAGAATCCAATACAAGAATTGCATGAAAGAAATTTTTCATACTTTATTATGTTTTACATTTCAAATTCAAAAAAATAAAAATTACAAATTGAGTAATTGAAAAAAATACATATGACTATTTCTCATGAAACAAAAGCATTAAAAAATTTATTAAACTTTTTTTTAAATTTTTTGAAAATTTTTAGCAGAAGTATGTACATTTCTTCAACATCTAAAGGAAGGTGCGAAGGTCAAGTATGATGGTTGGGGCCTGGGGGAGGGATTTTTGGTTGGTTTTCTGTTCTAATTATCAAAATGTCCCATGACAAAAAAACTCTAAAAATGGTTGGATTTGATTTCTAGTCGCGGAGGGTTTAGTTAGTGGCAGAGCTACAATATTTGCTATGAGTTCAGACGAACTCACTAGTATTTATGGCTATTTGCTTCCGCTATTTATACCTGTATTCCGCGAAGGTCAGACAGAAACTAAGTGAAGAAGAGGCAGGTTTATAATCTCTTGCAAAGCCAAACAAGGGGAAGAATGTTAAAAAGAAAAGAAGGGGAATTGGATAACAAACTTATCAATACAAATTTCAAAAAACAACATAAAATTGAAGTGTAAGAACATCATACAATCTTACTTCTAACAAACCAATAGGAGAAAATAAAACCAAAAAGCAATTTATGCCTCTGAATTTAATGCTCTTTGGCTATATTCTGAGGCAAAAATTCATTTTGATTAAATAAAAGAAGATCCAAAATCTTGAAACAATAGAGAAAAGAGAATGAAAGCTTTGATACAACATTTAAACTGCTGCACTTTTGCACACTGGACATGTATTCTTCTGCATAAGCCATTTCTTTATGCACTCAATATGATGGTAGTGTCCACATTCAAGTCTTCCTATTTCATCATCAACTTTGTATCCTTCCTGTAAAAATAATATTTATTGTTAAAAAGAATGTCAATATCAGTAGTATTCTGTTATTGTCAGAGGCGGATTCAGGATTTTAATTCTATGGATTCAGCATTTACGGTTCTTAGTATTTAACCTATTATATTTTTAAAGTTATGGGTTCGGACCCACTATATGTTGCAATTTTAGAGAATTTTTATACTAAATTTATACTCCGTGTCAAAAGTAGTGGGCTCAGATGAACCCGGTACTATAACACTACATATGCCTCTAGTTATTGTGTGCTAAATCTCGTAAGGGGAAAAAAAGAGCGGCACGCTTTACTAAGCTCCCGTTATGTGAGGGATTTAGAAAAGGGTCGGACCATATTGGGGTCCACCTTGCATTTCTGCTAGAAGTATCATTGAGCCAAAAAAGGGCAACCCGGTGGGTTAAGCTATTGCTTATGTGCGGGGTCCAGGGAAGGGTCAGACCATATTGGCTCAATTATATGGAGCTTTACCTTGCATTTCTGCAAGAAGCTGTTTTCACAAATTGAATTCGTAACCTTCTGGTTGCACGGCGACAACTCTTATAGTTGTAAACAAATTTAAAAAGTAGGAAAAGATGAGGAATAGTGAACTCACTTGGCAAATGGTACATTTCCAGGCTTTATCAGTGGAGATGAGAAGTGGAGAGGAGTCAACTGTTGAGAGCTTAAACTTTCTTATATATTGGACAATTTTCTCTTCTGCTAAACCTGTGCCTACATACCCAATCCTATCACTCAATTCAACCAATTGCTGCAAAAAGAAACACCAAAAGACTGTATCAGCTCAATTCTATGCATATGTATTATAATGTATATTGTAAGGAAATCAAATTATATACATCGACAGTGTAAAGTACTTTTTATACTGTCTAGTGTACTTAAAAGACGAACCTCATATGACATATCATCTACATCAAGTCTCCAGGATCCATGTTGATCATCACCATCTAAATCTCTAGCAAATTGCAGGTTTTGTCTGAGGATCATGATCTGCAAGGTTCGAGGTGAGAACGAAATTTGATCATATGAAGACCGTTCAAGATATAAATAGGGATGCAATTGGTGTAAACATCAGGTACGGATAAGTTTTTAACTTACAGAAGGACGATGATGAGAACGGGGGCATTGGTGTCTTATATTAGAAGCACGGAACCTGGAAATTTCTTCACCATTTGCAGTTCTCCTTGCGACACGAGAGTGCTATTCGAATGCAATCCAAAGCATACACAATTTAGTAAACTTCTGCTAGTGAGTTGTGACATTAAAAGGAATAATGTTTGGAAATGCAGAACTGCTGACTTGATGTCTACACATGTAGAAGCTATAAGAAAGACACAAAGAATACCAAACTAGTCATGTTGAACTAAATTTAGACAAAAAAACAGATAAGTTTTATAGTTATTATGAATTTGATAACTCATTTTGCAATATGGAAACTGTAGATCTTTGGTACAAAAGATAGACAGACGAGGAATAAGATAATATGAATCTAAAATTAGAGTCCGATGATGAAATCCATACGTAAAGCTATTTTAGTTTCAAGAGCATTATAGCATGATTATAATTTTCTTCCCATCAGCTGAACTCAGAGGCGGACCCAGGATTCGGCGGTCACGAGGGCACCATAACATTCAATATAAATTTATCATTACTCATAAAGATTTGTACGGGAGCCTATGCTAATATCTGACTATTTCTTGAAAATATTTACAAGTATACATAGGTTTTTTGCAGAAGTTTTCGGATGCCGATGACCCCTCTCCCTATAGCGTGTGTCCGCCTCTGGCTGAAATCCTAGATGGAAGATAGAATAGAGGAGTCAACATGGCCTTACTGAATAGAAAATGGTTGTAACCAGTGGCAGATGTACTATATATGTTTTCGAACCCAGTAACTTTGGCTCAGGATATATATATAATATAAATTTACTAAATCTGTATAATATTGGTTTGGAACATAGTAAATCAAATAAGATGTGGTAAAATTACGAACTGAATACATAAAATTTAAATCTTTAACCCTCTCGAGTTGTAACCTATAAAGTCCATATCATGTTCATATTCCTGTAGCCAGGGGCACCAGGGGAAACAATCTCATTGTGCATTTTGTTATTAAAATAATCTAAATTATATGCACTAACGATGTTAAAAAAAATCTACAATATTAGGTCATTTAGAAGGTAATTACAGGTAACTCTATTAAATAATTGTTAACTGTCACCTAGAATAAATGGTAAGTAACCTGCTATAACATATAAAACTACGGTGAGTATATATAACTAAAATCCATAACAAGAGTCTTTTACCTCTCTGTTGTTTGATCTTTGGGAAGGAGTTCTTGGTCTAGGAGCAACATCAGAAGCAGAACCAATTCCAGGAGGAGCACAACAAACATCAGGAATATCAACAACAACATTAGCTATATTCCTAGTACTTGTACTTGACAATGTGGTTTTCTTTCTCCTTGTATTTTTCCTCATTTGGTTAGTACTCTCCCATTGTGCTGCTGATCTTATGACTGCCGGTGCCGACACCGGCGGCGAATTTAACTTTCCTTTACATCCTAGCCCTCCAAAACTCACTGACATGAATTTCTTCTTATTTTTAGGCTTTGTACTGAAAAAAAATTTAGATTCATTTGTATTGTTTGTTGAGTTTGGTTTGTTTCTTGGTTTTTTAAGTGTTGAATGATGAATTGTTGATATAGGCATATTGTAAAGGAAATGAAATGAGATGTGGTATGGCCTTAGAGAGATCAAAAGGAAGAAGAGAACAAATGAATCATAGTTTCAAAGGTTTTGATCATTTGTATACAATGGAAATGAGAAAATAACAAAAATGGTCTCCCATGTTTGTGATAGGTTCACTATAGTCCTTTAAATATAATTCTGAGCAGTTTTGATCCTTTAATTTTGCTTAAAATGAGTATTTTTGGTATCCGTCAAATATTTAATAAATGTTTGTTGGTAGATTTAACAGGACTATGGAAAAAATATATTCCGTGAACTCATATTTCGAGGTGCAGTTGTTATGTTTGGTCTATCTCTAATCTCTCGCACGACTGTTTTTGTTACAATTTCTAAAATTTGACAAGATTTTCCTGATGTTTCTAGTTAATTTTTTGCGGTTTTCACTAAATTTAACATGTAGAGTTTGTTAAATATTTGATAGAAATTAAAAGTGTTCACTTTTTCAAAAACAACTAAAAGTATTAGGAGTATATATTTTAGGGACTATTTTAAAACAACCCAAAATAAGGACCATTTTTGTCATTTATTCAATTGAAATATTTGAATTTTTGTGTATATGAAACTGTGGTTTTTATTGAAAGCTGTTTCCTATTTTGGATCTCTTGGAGGGAGGCCAAACAGGACAAATGAGGAAGTACTGATTTTTCAAAACACAGTTGTCTGTCTTCTTCTACGTGTTGTTTTTTATAAGTTTTTTTTCTTTTTGTTTCTGTTCTGTTAGTTACAAACAAAATACTTGCTGTCTTTTTATTTGTACCTTTATTTTGTATATATTCCTTTTGTACTTTTTCACCTTACCTTTTACCTATTCTAATAATTGTTCATTTGTTTGAGAGACATTTTGTCTAACATTTGATTGGTAACTTTGTTTTTAGGTAAATTTGAATTCTGGGGTAAAGAAAAAGATAGTAATAACCCATGATTATATTTTTCCCTTTTGACTTTGCTGTCAACATCTGTAATCAATCTAGCCATTGCTCAGTACTATTTTGGAGTTGAATTCATAATTATTTTATACTAATAAACAACCTTTAGTCATTCACTCCTTTATATGAGCTACATCATTTGAGCATGGTTAAATCCATGCTCAAATTATCAAAAAGAGAGGAAGGAAAAAAAAAAGGGGGGGGGGGGGGGGGGGTTGCCTTTTAAAAATGTAGTCATAAGTTACAACAAATTATAGGCAGGTTGATGAGAATTGGTCTTTGATCTTTTTTCTGAGAAAATATTATTCATGGATTTAATTTATAAAAACTGATAATATAAAGAATGTTTATATCATCGGTGTAGTTTAATCTGTTGTAGCCAGTAACCTGTCATATATTTTAAATTATTAATTTCACTTTTAATGGACGGTTACTTGCTATCTTTTAAACGGTGTAAAAAATTTTTTACATTATCTGGTCACTTAACAAATAACTACAAGTAAATAGTCATAATTGGTATTAATGACATAAAAATAAGACACGTAACCTGCTATAACATACTGATTACACTGATCAAACTGAAATTTACACATGGAATTTCCACAGAAGAGGGAAGCAGTCTTCATCAAATTTAAAAAACAAACAAAACAGTTTCTGTTTGATGTAACATTAGATGTAAACATGCATGCTAGGATTCCAACAGCATTTATGATTTTAGTTGAATGTTTGAAAAGGGCAGGTCAGTTGTATATAAAATTCTATGAAAAAATTGGTTATCAATGTTACGAACCGGATTTCCCTCCGTCGGGATCGTAATGGCGCCTAACTCTTAGAATGTTAGGCTAGCCAACAGATACAGTTCTAACACATTAATCATTAACAAAACAGTAACTAACAATAGTTAAACTAAACAGATATGAAGTGCGGAAATTTTATAATAGTTTAAATACTCTAGTACAAGACCACCCAAAAGATCTGGTGTCACAATCCACGAACGTCTAAGAATTTCTACGAACACTGGTTTAAAGGAAATACATCTGTTTTTCGGAGTGAAAGAAAACAGGAACTAAGATAGAGGGAAGGGGACTCTAGGGTCTGCGAGCGCCGGCAGATCTACATTGGGTCTCCTGTGGACTGAAGGCAGCAACCCAAACTCTGATCGGAGTGGTCCAGTATCGGGATCTGCATAGAAAGTGCAGAGTGCAGTATCAGTATAACCGACCCCATATACTGGTAAGTGCCGAGCCTAACCTCGGCGAAGTAGTGACGAGACTAGGACACGACAAATAACATAAACCTGTGCAGTTAAACAATATGCTAAGAGAATAACAATTAATAGAAGTTAAGCAGACGTTAACGGGAAGGGGGCAACATGCTATGGGGGTACCAAAATAAAGAATCACAGCAGTAGAGAAATTTAAACAGCTAGTACACTTTGAATCGGTAATAACAAGTAAACACAGCAAACGAAAAATGCACGGCATCACCCTCGTGCTTTTACTCTCAACCTCACAGGTAATCAATAATAGAAATGTGCACGGCATCACCGTTCGTGCTTTACCACTCAGCCTCACCAGATAATCAATAATAGAAACGTGTACGGCATCACCCTTCGTGCTTTATCACTCAGCCTCACCAGATAATCAATAATAGAAACGTGCACGGCATCACCCTTCATGCTTTATCCCTCACCACATAAGAAACAACAGAAACAATAACAACCTGGCAAGGGCATCATAGTTAAACAACCTCGTTTCATCATTTAACTTCACAACATAAATCTCAACTTGCGCCAATATTCAACCAATATCCAAAACCAGGAAAAATATAATAAGACTTGTTTAACATGAGTAATAACTAGTTTAAGCAGGAACAGTACGTATAAAGAAACACAACGGTCACAAGTATAAGGCCCACTCACATACTATGACCCGACAACAACGTATGGATACTCGTCACCTCACCTATACGTCGTACTTAACAACTAAACATGTAGCAAATAAGGAAACAATACCTAATCCCTCAAGCTAAGATTAGCCACAACACTTACCTCAATTCCACGGCCAAACTCAAGCCTCAAATACCGCTTTTCCTTTAGTTTCCACTTCCAATCCGCCTGTATCTATTCATAATTAACTTATTAACATCAATTAACGCTAAAGAAACCAATTCTAATGCATAATTATAGATTTCCCAATATTTTCCCCAAAAGGTCAAAAATCGACCCTGGGCCCGCTTGGTCAAAAATCAAAATTCGGACCAAAACCTGATTACACATTTACCCCCGGGCCCGAATATACAATTGGTTTTGGAATCCAACCTATGATTTAGGGAAGAAATGGTCTTTGGAAAATCACCTCTTGAAGTTTAGGTTTTGAAAAATGGGAGAATGAATGAAAAATCCCGTCCAAAAATTATTTTGAATAGTCGCAGTTATCGCATTTGTGAGCCAGACTTCACAATTGCGAAGTCTGCAAACCTGAATCATACCAGCAATTTTCTTAAGTTTTAAAACACTCCGTAGCCTATCCAAAACTCACCCGAGCCCTCGGGATCCAAACCAAACATGCACACAAGTCTTAAAACATCATACGAACTTGCTCATGCGATCAAATCGCCAATAACACCTAGAACTATAAATTCAACACCAAAACACATGAATTTTCAAGATAGTTTCAAACTTCCCATTTTCTCAACCAAAAGTCCGAATCACGTCAAATCACTTCCGTTTCTCACCAAACTTCACAGATAGGGTATAAATATCATAACCGACTTGTACCGGACTCCAGAACCAAAATACGGGTACCAACAAGATCAAACATTATTCAATTTCTAAAAACCATTATATTTCCTGTTAACAATTTTATTCAAAAATTCATTTCTCGGGCTAGGGACCTCGGAATTCAATTCTGGACATACGCCCAAGTCACATATTTTTCTATGGACCCTCCGGGACCGTCAAATCACGAGTCCGGGTCCGTTTACTTAAAATATTGACCGAAGTCAATTTAAATCAATTTTAAAGGCAAAACTCAATATTTTTCTCAAATTTTCATATAAAGGCTTTCCGGAAACACTCCCGGACTGCGCACGCAAATCGGGGAGAAAGAAAATAAGGTTTTCAAGGCCTTGGAACCCCGAATCGGATTCTAAAATAAAAGATGACCCTTTGGGTCATCACATTCTCCACCTCTAAAACAACCGTTCGTCCTCGAACGGACATAGAAAAATACCTGAGTCAGTGAAAAGATGGGGATATCTGCTCCTCATATCGGACTCGGACTCCCAGGTAGCTGCCTCAACAGGCTGACCTCTCCACTGCACACGAACCGAAGGATAACTCTTCAATCTCAACTGACGAACCTGACGGTCTAGAATAGCTACCGGCTCCTCCTCGTAAATCAAATCCTTGTCCAACTGGACAGTGCTGAAGTCCAACACGTGGGATGGATCACCGTGATACTTCCGAAGCATGGACACATAAAACACTAGATGCACAGCTGATAAACCTGGCGGCAACGCAAGTCTATAAGCCATCTTTCCCACTCGATCAAGGATTCCAAAAGGCCCAATGAACCTAGGGCTTAGTTTTCCCTTCTTCCCAAATGGCATCACGCCCTTCATGGGCGACACTCGAAGCAACACTCGCTCTCCGATCGTGAATTCCACGTCACGAACCTTACGGTTGGCATAACTCTTTTGCCTGGACTGAGATGTACGAAGCCTATCCTGAATAATCTTAACCTTATCCTAGGCATCCTGTACTAAATCTGTACCCAACAACCGAGACTCCCCGGCTCAAACCACCCAACTGGCGATTGACACGGTCTACTATATAATGCCTCATAAGGAGCCATCTGGATGCTCGACTAATAGTTGTTGTTGTAGGCAAACTCCACTCACGGAAAGAACTGATCCCAAGAACCTCCAAAGTCAATAACACAAGCGTGGAGCATATCCTCCAAAATCTGAATAGTACGCTCGGACTGTCCGTTCGTTTGAGGATGAAATGTTGTGCTCAACTCGACCCGCGTACCCAACTCACGTTGTACTGCCCTCCAGATATGTGAGGTAAACTGTGTACCTCGGTTAGAAATGACAGACACGGGCACACCATGAAG